TCGCGCTGTCGCTGCGAGAGGCGGGGGCGGGGGCGGGGGGCGGCGGCTCGCTGTACCCGCGGGTGGAGGCGACCGAGGCGCCGTCCGCCCGCAAGGTTCGCGCGCTCTACGACTTTGAGGCGGCCGAGGACAATGAGCTGACGTTCCTCGCCGGCGAAATCGGTGCGTTCGTGTACGTTTCAGGGCGTGGCCACGTCGATAATTTTTTACGGGTTGAAAGATACTATTTTTATATGCAGTGCACGTGACGGACTCGAGCGATCCCAACTGGTGGAAAGGCTACAACGACCGGGGTGAAGGCCTTTTTCCGGCTAATTTTGTAACTTCTGATCTCAGCGAACCGCGGCCCGGTGAGTTGGATTTATATTATTTTATCTTTTTACGCACGCGGTGCCGCATTCGTTTGTTGAGAATTGTCGCATGGAAAGTGTATGTCTGGTATACCGTACGTCTGATTTAGGCACGTAGTTTAGATAGAAAAGCCGAGTAGAATGTGTTCATCGCATCGACTATCTCTATGGACTATATGCTTAGGAAGTTGTCCAATGGCGATTTGAATGGTGCCAAAGTCGTTCCGCCTGGATTTGTGTCAGTTCGATTTTCAGAGAGCGAGGCGCGCGCGGGCGGCAAGAGCGTGCAGTTCGCGGCGAGCGAGGGGGAGGGCGGCGGCGCGGAGGCGGCGGAGGAGGAGGCGCGCATCGACGAGGCGGCCATGGACGCGGCGCTGGCGCTGCTGCACGAGGCCGACCCGGCGGAGGCGCCCGCGGCGGGCGGCGCCGAGCGCGCGCTGCGCCGCCTGGAGGCGCGCGTGCACGCCATGGGCCCGCTCGTGGACGCGGCGCTCGAGCGCGCCGACCGCCGCCACGCGCGCCTCACGCAGCTCAGCGCCGACCTCGTGGACGCGCTCAACCTCTACCACTCGCTCATGCGCGACCCGCCCAAGCCGCTCTACGCGCCCCCCGCCTTCGCGCCGCCGCCGCCCCACGCGCCGATGCACCAGCCGCACCAGCCGCTCCAGCCGCACCAGCCGCTCCAGCCGCACTTGCACGGCGCGCCGCCCCCCGCCCCCCTCGGCCCCGTGGCGCACGCGCCGCCGCACCAGCCGCAGCCGCCCAGGTCCCTGTCGCAATTACGCTACCTTCAGCTGCTAGCCTATAAATATTCATCTGCATTTTAACTTCAACAGTCAAACTGATTAATTTCAGATGCTGAACACGCCCGCAGCTCACGACCACACCCCTGTAAATATTTCTCCGTTTCCAATCCTATAGAAATTGTTGATTATTATAATTATTTATGCAAAAATAATAAATAAATATTCCTTATGAACATTGTTTTCATTTTATTTTAAAAAAGGGGATTGCCCAAATACAGGCCCACTTTGTGGCGGTGTGTCATAACCATATTTAATTTTAAAAAACGTTTAATTTTTATGTGATTATTTGTTTTATATGAACGTTTCTTTCACCCGAGGATTGAAAAACTAAATGAATAATTATGTAACTGATTCTACGTATATCTCGTTAAAGAGGCTTAAACAAAATTTTGCCAAGTCACAAATGTCAGACTGTATAAACAAAAAAAATCAATTTAAAATTAATTTTGAGTAATTGCAGTTCAACAATATACACTATTTGCACAAAATATTCAACTTCTACTTAACTACTCATACATAATATTGAATTTTAATATTTTTCCAAAATTGAAATATGTGTGTCGAACTGAACTATCATAACATCTGGTATGTTGGTTTAATGATATAATGAAAGGCTATCAACTCTGTTTAGAATACCCACATCCACTTTGGAAAGAAAAATGAATATTGTTAGAAATTGTTTAAATACACAGCGAATTCCGAGATAATTAGGACTCAATCACATGACTGTCCAAAATGTTGCATCACGGAATAGGGATTTTTTGGGGATGCTACAGTGGCTTTAAATATTAAGCTTGCTATTGTTATATGCGATAGTGCATAAGTTTATATCCAAAGCAGGAGCAGTTATTTATACCAAAAACGAACCTATAGCTTACATAAATATAGCAATTTAGTAAAACCATTTTTATTTGTTTGCTGTGATGAATGAAGAATAAATAATTCTGTTTATTTCTTGTTGTTTTTTTAATAAACCTGTTATATTATCAGAATCACTAAACTGCATCGAAACGACCTCCCCATCATTAAGTTCATAAACCTACTAACGGTTGTAGGGCCACGAAACAGTCTTCGCTGTTACAGGAATGGGCACGTCAATCTGGGGAAGTACCACGACTCCACAGCAAACTGGCGTGAAGTGGAAGTGTTTTTCTTCAACGTTTCGTCGGGTGAGTGAGTTAGCCGGGGCCCACATTAGAAGGTAGCAACGCATCTGCAACCCTACGGGTGTTACTAATGTCAATGGGATAAGGTTATCGCTTAACGTGGGTAAACTGCCAGCTCGCTTGACAAATTCTCACATAAAAAAAACCTTACAAACTTATAATTAATTATCAATTTTTATGTAAAACGTTCCAAATTTTATAAGTGCGCATAAACATTTATTTGAATGAAGATATTTGAATTCACAAACGTTTTGAATCCGTTATATTATATAGAGTTCAATTCGACATAACCTCAATTTTAGCAACATAAAAAGTACGATTTCTTTTTAACCCGCGTGAATAAACAGAAATAGTTTGCAGAACGTTAAAAGGTAATAATTTATCTACGAAATAGTATTAAAATCACAGTGATATAAAATTTTTTTCGAGGGGCCCAAAGCCCCTAAGAAAATGGGCAATGCCCTTTGAACAGCTAGTATTATTTACAATTATCTAAATGCCCTAAAAATAATTTATGGCCTCCATAAAAATACAGGTTACTTAGGTTACGTTAGGTTAGTTTTTTTTTTTTTTTTTTTTCATTTTTCCCCTGACATGGGTTCTCAGGGACCTTGGTAATGCAATGCTCTTTTCATACTAATTTTAGTACGATGTTCTTTTCCTATATATACATACATTCATATTAACATACTGTTATAGTTTCAGTTATACATTTACAATATAAATTTAATTTACCTTTAGTTCTTTTCTTGTTTATAACATTTCCAATTTTTGCCTAGTTTGTTGTTACATTTGTATCTTGCTTATTCTACCTACATAGCTATTTACTTATTACTAGTATTTTCTTACAGCATTTCAAATATTTTCTCTATTTTAGTTAACTTTTACATCAAATTCTTATTTTACTTATCATTTACTTAATGTATACTTATCTTAACTAGCCATTCCTTGTCGCCATTTGCCATTATTATTCTTTCCCAAAATTATATTTATTTGCCAATTTTCCGTTTCATTTACAATTAATTGCTACTTCCTGATTTGTTACATTTTATTCGAGAATTGTATCTTATACACAAAATGTATAAAAACAATTTCTATTAATGCCTCATTTTTATTTTATTTTATTTTGTGTCATTTATGCTTTCGATAAATTATTTGCCTTGATTCGTATGTGTTAATTTTGTGAGTTATTATCTTAATTACCGGTGGATGGGCAGAGGATACGTTTTGACTATTTGATACTGTACGTTTCCCAGCTCCCTCCTTTCTTCTTATGTGACTCTGCCTGGCGAGGAGTGAAATGTATTAGGCCAATCTCAAGATTGGGTGCTGCATAAATTATGCAGCTAACGTTTCTCTTCTTGCCAGTCAGTGACACGCGTAAAGGGATATTTTTTGGGCGTAACTGGCGGGCCAGTCCTCCCAATCCACAATAGTCTGCATTCCGGTAAGTGTACCTCATTTGTTTTTGCGTACTTGCGCAGTGCCACGTTTTCTATTTTTAAGTCCTCCAGAGGCCTTTCCTTTTTCGCCCAGGTTTTCTCAATGGGACATCTTATTTGTCGGGTTCTTTGGAGGTTTCTTAAAAACCGCGGCACTTTTGGTTGCCGGTCAGGATTTAGCGAATCTCTTGGCGGCCACCTTAGCAGTAAGCTACGGATGATCTCGCCAAGTTATCCCATTTTCTCCTGACCGGACAATCTGCGCTAAAAGCATTGTGGTCTTTACGATCTAATTTGGCTCTTATTCAGTTTTTGCAAGAGGGCACCTCGCCGGCCATCCAGTCCGCACAGTCGGCCCTGAGGTGTGGGCCACCGCAGTGACTGCACACCTCCTCCGCCTCTGTGCATAATTTTCTCGTATGCCCATACCCCAAGCATCGAGAACATTGCACCAGTGGGGACTGGTCCACCACTCGCGCTCTCTGTAAATCTATGTGGAGTATACCACTCTCAGTCATAAGTGCCCACAAACCTGGCGACACTTTTATCACTATATGACAAGTGAGCGAGTTTCTCGTCTTTTTGCGATATTTAATCTCCATTCGCATATCTTCCTCGCTCACTCCCTCCATCAGGTTTCTATTTTGGTGTTTAATGGCCTGCAAGATGTCTTCGTCAGTGTTGTAACACATGACATCTCTGACCATTACGAGAGGGTCCTTGTTCTTGATTTCCTCTGCCACAAGCTGCGTCCTATCCCGGTTTATCCTGTCTTTTACCCTCTTCAACTCTTCTTGGCTACTAAATCCTATTATTATCCTTCTGTCCTTTGCTTTTCTGATACGATCTATCCTCAATCCTTGCTCCTTTGCATTAATGGTCTTCCTGATCCTCTCTACCACCTCATCTCCTGTTTCCATGTCATCTCGCGAGATAACTGCCATCGAGTGTGTAACCGTTTGCCTCGATCGTGTGTTCGCACTAATTCCGGGGCGGCCACATTAGCGTATGTTTTACATAATTCCTTGTTTCCGTGGTTTTTCAGCGTTTCTCCTAAAATTAACATTTCTTTCCTGTTTTCTTCCAAAAGTTTACTGTGTTCACTTATCTTTTGCATCAGTTTATTCTCTACCTCTTCTTTTCTTTCTATTTCCACCACTGGTCTATCATCACTCTTTTCTTGTCCTTTATTTCCCTCTGCCTCCCTGTCTGCTTCTGCCTCTTTAACAAACTGGTACATCCTCTCTATACTCTGTAATAACTCCACTTTTATTTCAGTTTTTAAATTTCGTGAATTGCTGAGGTGGAGCTTAGCCTTCTGCAGGCAAGCCCTCGCCTCAGCAACTCTGTCTGCATATTTTTCCTTCTTCTTCCCCGGTGAGCTGCCTTCTATTTCGACTGACGTCCCAGGTTGGGAGGGGCCAGCTAATTTTTTGGTAGGTGCCGCCGAGATTCGTCCCGTTACCCTTGTCTGAGCGCTAGGGTTTTTGTCCGTTCTGTCGTTTTCCCACTCTCCTATACTCCGTCTCACGTTTGTTTTCCCCTTCTCGCGTTTAGGAGATGGTCCTGCCATCTCCTCTGGGGAACTCATTTCCGGAAAAATGTTCTTTTTGGCGGGAGTACGGTAACCGAACATGTCAGGGGAGTGTGTCGACTCTAATTATACGAGTAATAGTCGATAATATTAATATAATCTTAACTTGTAAGAGTTGTAAATATTTATTATTAAATATTTGTCTGTAAACCGGTGACTTGCTTATATGTATAAGGTATAAGCTGTCAATAATTATTTATTTGGGTTCAATCCAGGTCTGAGCCAGTCAGGACAGGTGTTTACTGCTTGTCGTTTAATTCAGGCTAGGTATATGTAGGACAAATAACTATGTCTACGGTCAAAAATGTATGTCGAAAAATTTTTTCTTTGTCAATATACAACCATGGGGTTATACTTGTACTATAATAAAATAAAATAAAAATAAAAATGTAAAAAAATTTTTTGTTAACAAAAACAAAATGGCCGCCGAAGTCAATAGTGGCCTTGTCGGTTATAGGGTCTATCGGGTAGATCAGCTTATCGAAAACCGCGTCGAAATTGGACCCCTATGGACGAAGTTATGAGCTTTTTAATATTTACAAGATGGCGGCAAAGATGGCGGCTAAATATAAAAGTCTTAATATATACGAGAGTTTTTGTCGCAGAGAGCCGTGCCTGGAGTCACTGAAGAGGGCTATTAGATTCCGCGATAAAATTGACTCGGCTCTATCACTCTATGTAGAGTCTGTATTAGGTTTTATTTTGTTTGCCCTCTTGCAGGCACTCCAGCACACAAAACCCCGCCTCTCTACGACTTCTCTATCAAAAGTTATCCTAGTTTAAAATTTTACAAAATGGCCGCTGTTTTCAGTCCGTTCCCGTCGATTTGACGATTAATGTCCGAATTTGGCCGTGTTTGGGCTCAAAAGATTTGTCTCATTCTCTAGTTTAATAATATATATAGCTTTTATTAGTTTTGGCCCCCCTTCATTTTATAATTCGAAAAAACCTTATATATTTTACAATATTTTCTATATTAAATCTATTTATAATTTTAAAAATCTACAAAAAATTTATAGCGTTGAATGCATTTTTATCCACTGTTTACAAATTTTTGTTTTAGCCCCCTCTATTTTTTAGTGGTCTTTTTTAATTTTCCAAAAATTTCCAGAACTTTAAACATACAATATCTCCGCCAATTTGGCTCAGAATTTTACAAAATTTTTACTATATGTTCTTGGCGTTGGCCTTAATAATATAAGATTTTTTAAATAGCAGGTCACCGATCTAAATTCTAAGTAATTAATTTTTGAAATTTTGCCTAATTTTCAAAAGTCTTTATCTCGACCACCACTTATCTTTTCTTTACGGCGAAAACTGTTCCCGGCTCCTGCTCCCGGCTGCTTCCCAGTTCCAACGTCAAAAATAGCCGCACGTACGCGGATCACGTAGCACGTGCCACGTGGTCACTTGTTTTTCTGGCGATAATTCCGTCAATATTGACCGGAAAAATCCAAATTTTGGCACAAGTGTAGATCTCCTTGATGCCCTCCAGACCGCACTTAAAAAAGTGGGTGTCACCGCGACAAATCGTCCAGCGTTCACTTTCAAAGTTTTTAAATTTTTAAAAATTCACTATTTGTTGAATAACTTCCACAAACTTTCACCTTTTTGAGTGGAACTTTCACTGTGGGGTGCGTCTGGTCAATGCGCAACTTTTGACACCAAGATCACGTTATTCGGACGCAAACATCCCACTAATTTGATTTTTCGCGAATTTCTAAGACACGGAGTGACACGAAAACAACTTTGGCACCTGGTACTCGCGGCGGGGCGTGGTTCCGATCTGGTTAGGTTAGGTTAGGTTAGGTTAGGTTAGGTTAGGTTAGGTTAGCTTAGCTTAATGGAAGCCTGAGCTTTACAAACTTTGTTTTCTCATGTTTATCATATGTTCTTTATATTTTACGTCTTATAGTTTTCAATACTTTCTTATTTCCTAAGTTGTACATTTTACGTTTCTAGTTAGCTAATCTAGTCATTTATATGTTGTTTTATTATATCTTATCTGATCTAACTTAATTAATAACATTTTATACTAATTTTATTTTGCTTTCAAGTATATACATATATTTTACCTTGTTTGTGGGAATTGTTTACAGTATACCCTAGTTATACATACAATGTCCCTTTGTTACTTACTTATTTATTTCTCTTACACGTATTACGTACCACTATTTTACAAAGCTGTAAGAAATCGTCTCTAGATTTATTTTCATTAAGCAGTTTAGGGAGATTTTCGATTGTGACTGGTTTTCCTACTTTTATTTCAAAGTTGACTCGCTCCATACCATACATAGGACATTCTGTTAGGATATGAGTGACGTTCTGCGTCTTATCTGCATCGCACTCGCATGCTGGACTGTCCTTGCAGCGAAAACGATGCAGATATTCCGCAAATCCGCCGTGTCCGGTGAATATTTGTACTAATGTCGGGTTCATGTCGATCTTCCTAATGATGCGATGGGCGTCGGTCACATCTGGGAAGAATGCCTTCGTAGTGGAGGCTGTGGTCTCATTCCTGTATCGTTGATTCCATTCGACAATTGACTCCAGCCGGATTTGCCTTTTGATGTATGAGATCGGACATCTTTCATAATCCGGTTTTTTCTTCGACTTAAGTGCGGCTTCTTTAGCTAGGAAGTCTGCACTTTCATTGCCTACGTGTCCCACATGTGCCTTAATCCAGTGGAGGACGAAGGAATCACCTCGATGAACTATCTCCGCGATATTCCCCCTCGCCTCCACGGCCATGGGGTGGTAGGTATCCCAGCGGGTTAGGTTAGGTTAGGTTAGGTTAGGTTAGGTTAGGTTTAGGTTAGGTTAGGTTAGGTTAGGTTAGGTTACGGTTAGGTTAGTTAGGTTAGGTTAGGTTAGGTTAGGTTTTATTACCGGTTTTCAAGTATTGCAGTTATACATCTATAACATGTATGATTGCAATATCTTTTATTTTCTCGTATTTATTTTTATTTTCTTTTATTTCTCTTTTGTTTCAGTTACGTTGGCTCTTATTTTCTTTATTTATGATTTCAATGTATTTTTGGGTAGCCTGAGAATTGCTGGATTTCAGTTTATTGCTCGGATTTTTCGGTTTATTAGCCGGTATTCTCATTGAGTCGTCTTCCAAAAAGGTGCTGCATTCATAATGCAACTCTTCCGTATGTCCCAGCTTTCATTGATTTTGCGCATGAGTTCGTCCCACTCTATCCTAGCTGTAATCTTAGCAATGCATGGCTTCCCCGATTTCACTACTTAAAAAACTAGCAAATCTTTATAGTTTTCCCAGCTTTTTAGTTGTGGCCAAAATGACCACTCGAGTCTCGCCTTTTCCGGATCTAGATGAGATGATCTGTTTCGCAGACAACGTCTTTGGGATTTCGGGAGATTTCCTTTTTGCCGGAGCAGGCTCGGTGAATATGCCGGTGCACTTAGTTGGTTCGAGTATACCTAGTTTGGAGTTTTTTCTATTACATTGGTTACGGGTGCGAACCGCAATTACTCCATAATCCGTCCTTTTGCACAGTGCGTTCATTATTTGACTTTGTACTGCTTCGTAGGTTGGAAAGATTTCCACGGGTGTTCTGTGGAGGTATCGAGCGGTGCAGTACTTTATATCCCCAGTCAGGGTTTCGTGTCTTCTCGAGACCACCTTAGCAGTATGCTACGGAGGACCTCGCTATGGAGTCCCATTTTCTCCTGACTGGGCATTCTTCGCTGAATGCATTATGCGCGCGATGTTCTAATTTCGCGTTTGTGCAGTTTCTGCACGTTGGTGCAGCTCCCGCGAGCCACTCCGCACACTCTGTCCTAAGGTGCGGGCCCCCACAGTGGCTGCATGTATCTGCAGATTCAGTGCAAAGTCTCTTGGTATGCCCGTACCCAAGGCATCGTGAACATTGTATCAGTGGGGATTGGTCCGCCACCCGTACCCGCTGCACATCAATGTATACGATCCCATGATCCGTCATGCGTCTCCACACCGGCGGCGACACTTTTAGCACAATATGTGAGGTAAGTGAGTTCCTAGTTTTCTTTCTAAACTTGACCTCTATATTTCTGTCTTCCTCACTCACTCCCTCTAGAATGTTTTTGTTTTGCATGTGAATTGCTTTGATAATGTCGTCATCAGTATTATAGGCCATGACGTCTTTTAGGACAACTAGAGGATCCTTGTTTTTTATCTCCTCCACTATCAATTTTGATCCTTTTTCCCTAAGTCTATCCGGGACTCTTATTATTTCGTCTTTAGTACTACACCCTAATATAATTTTTCTGTCTTTTGCTTTGCGCAGCCTGTCTATTTTTAGCCCTTGTTCCTTCGCGTCTATCACCTTTCTGATCTTTTCTATAATCTCGTCACCTGTGTCCAACTCATTTGTCGAAGTGATTGCTACTGAATGTGTCATCGCTTGTTTAGGCGGCGGTTTTGAGTTTGTTCCAGCAGCGACGCTAGAATAGGTAACCCGGTCTTCTTTCATTCCTTCTTCTTTGATTATTTTCCCCAGCGCTACCATCTCCTTTTTGTTCTCTTCTAGCATCCTTCCATGCTCCTCAATCTTTTTAATTAAAATGCTTTCTCTTTCACTTTGCGTTTCACTTTGTCGTTTATTTGCTCTTTCAGTGTGTCCTTCTGGTATTTCATGTTTCTTTGCTTGCTCTTCTGTGTGTTTTGCTTCAATTTCTGCCTTTCTTTCTGCTTCTGCCTCCTTAACTAATTTATATAATCTATCTATGGCCTGAGTTACCTCGTTTTTGATGTCTGTTTTAAGGTTCCTCGAGTTGCTGAGGTGTAGTTTTGCCTTATTTAGACATGCTCTCGCCTCAGCGACTCGGTCAACATAGGTTGTTTTGTTCTTAACTGGAGAGGCGCCTCCTCTCTCTGGCGATGGTCTGCTTGATGATGAAGGGGCAATATTTGTCTTTGAGCGGGCTGCCGGAACTAATTTGGTCCCTTTCCCCTGCGGTCCTGTGTTTATCTCAGCTTCCCAATCCCCAATACT